ATTCTTTGGCATCCAAAAACCATTGTTCTTTGGAAACTAACATCAATTTAGACAAGGGACTATCTTCTGTACCTGCATTTTGGATTGCTCTACCAAGATCTAGGAACCATTGATAAAGTGTGGTGTTGTCCTCTTCTTCTTTTAGGGTTGCTTCATTTCGTGCTGCTTTACTTCGTGCTTCAGGCTGTTTATCAAAATCACGAATGTTAACCATGCTGAAAGTGCTCTTTAATATTTTTTTTATCCAAAAATTGAATTAGGTTTCACGGTCAACCAGACAAAACCATTCAAGAGCTCAATCGCACCGTATTATTTTCTGTTTAAAAGTTAATATACTTTTAATAGCCGAGAAAAAATAACACAAGGTTACAGGACTGAGAATGTCATCTCAGAACAAAGCAAAAGGCAAGAAAACCAACAAAGGTTGTTGTGGTATTGTGACACGTACAGGAAACTCAAGCGACTATGCTCGGCGTTACAAAAAGTGGAAGAAGATAGGAAAACTTATCAAATTTGCCTCTGCATCCTTCCACAACTGTGTGAAATTTTTTTCAGAACATAAGAAGAAAATAGAAGAATACGACAATAAGTTGGGTGATTTAGAAGGAATTGACACCACTACCTATGTTGGAGAAAGAATTGAATTGATTGCGACTAGCTACTATGGATTGAAGAGTGTAATTAGCAAATTACCAGATCCTCCAGTTACTACTAGAACACCTTTTTTCAATTTTTATTTTGGGGAGGATGGAGAAACAACTTGGCTAAACTTTTGTAGGACAGTAGGTGCTGCTAATTTAGACGAGTCCTACAAAAAGATTTATGATAGTGTTATGGAAATTGATGGAAATGTTTTGGTAGAAGATGTTGAAGCGTTGGTGAATGTGCATGTTGATCCACAAGTTGCTCAAAAAGGTTGGGAAGAAAAAAGAACACTGCTTAAAGCTATTAAAGAGGTTGAAAAGAAATACGAAACTCTTGAGAAAGATATCAAAACAAACAAGAAGGACTTTGTTCAAAAAAGAGAGACTTCACTTGTTTCATGGTACAATGTTGCTTTCGGTTCTGCCATCAGTTTGTTAATCGTTATGACCACTCTTAGTGATCTCATTCCCTTCGACACTTTGTCAGGGTTAGGAATGGACAAACAAAATACAACTGCTATCTATCCAACCTACTATAGTAGAAATGACACTACTGTCTATACAGATCATAATCAAAATTTCAGAGATAGCAAGATATTGGCTGCAATAGTAGATGTTTTAAATTCAAGCTTTTTCAAAACAGGAGCATATGCAGCCTTTTTGACAATTATGGATGCCATGCTAAATTCAATCAACAATAAGAGTATATTGATTAACAGTGATACCACCACAAATGTTCTCGAGGTTACTTTTAAATTGATTACGTTTTTTTCTATTATCTTGAATATTGCTATTGGTCTCAGTTTTAATACAGCCATAATTTAATAGATCCAACTGAATACGTAAAGCTCATGCTCGGTGCATTTTGGATTCAAGTTATTGGTAGTATTGCGTTTATGCTATTTGTACCTATATTCATTTGGTTTAGATATTTAATGAATAGGCAATTTAGGAAGGCAAAGAATCATAAGAAAAGAAAATACTACAGCTATTACAACCCTGAAAAACTCACCATTACAAACGACCCTGTGAAAGCAAGGGAACCAGAAATACCACAGCAGGAATGGAATAAAGCTGTATGGAAACAAATGGAAGAAGAATTTAAGAGAAAATATCAAACAGATGAATAAAATGAATCTTTACAT